CCAGCCGTGTCAGGAGGGGCTGGGGTGTGGTCACCTGCAGCTGGGCCATTGTGTGACCGGAAATTGTGGCCTGGCTGACAGTGTCCCCACTCACCCGTTTGCACAGGGTTGGACCAGCACAGGGGGGCCGGTTTTATGAGTGTCCCCTGACCCGCACCAGGAACAACTCAGGCCAGGCTTAGTGGATGGGACCTTCGCTGGGTCACTGGAGGCTGGCGAGGAGCGAGGCTCCCCACGTTCTAAGGCACAGAGAGGTGCTAGCAACACATGAGTGTCTGCTGGGCACAGGCTGAACTGCCTGCCACTTGGATGTCCGCCCTCCGGAACAGACCAGGCTGGACCCTCCACTCTGGTCTGGCATGAAGGCCCCAGGCTTGGACGGGAGCTGAAGGCGTGAGAGGAGGCACGCTGCCACTTCCCACCCCCTCTGCACAGGCGGGGGTCATCTGAGTCTGAAGTCAAGGATGACTGAATGTCCCCAGGGTCTACCTGAGGCTTGCACGGCCAACTGGTCACAAGCAGGTTACAGACTGTCCTGACCCTGCCTTGCACCAGGAGGAGCCCACACGTTCCTGGAAATGGGACCCGCCCATGTGGTTACCTCTCAGGTACTCGGGGTCACTCAGCTTCAGGTAGAAGATGGATCTTTGGAGGAGCGACTCCAGCTTCGCGGCCAACGTCCCCACTCGCAGGCTCAGCGGCTGCAGCAGGGGGTCCTGGGCCCACTGTGCCTGGACGCTTCTTAGCTGCCCTGGGAGGGAGCAGAATTCGTTCATTCCACCATCTGACAAGCCATTTGGGTGGGAAAAAATATCCTAAGTTATGATGTTTCCTGTGAGCCTCCCTGCCTTCCCCGCACACAGGGGGGAGGGATTTGCTGAGCTTACTGGAAATTGGGCCTTTGTGGGGCTGATCCGGGCGATAGGTGTGGGGGTCAGGGTGGTGGAAGGTGGTAGCCAAGAACTTGGTTTCTGGAGGTTGGGCCTGACTCTAAATCCTTCTTGTGTAACCAGAGAAAGTCATTTCATTTCTCTCCTTCTCACTTTCTCCATCTGTACAATGGGGATAACAATAGTCCTTACTTCTTGGAGGGGTGTTGTCAGGATTAAATGAGCTAATGTGTAGAGAGGATTTAGTATTATCCATAGTACAAAGTCAGCACTTAGTGAAGTTCAGCCACTAGTGTTAATTAAGGAGACTTAGGGTCTGCTATACATGAGGAAAAATGAGGGAGGGATTCAGATTGCAGGGTGGAGAGCCACTGTGTACAGTTGTGCTGGTTGTGTACTACAGAAAAGGGTGATACAGTCATATCATGGGTTTATATCTGTACTAAGACAATTTCCCAGCAGATGGCAGTCAAGTGACTTGCAGAAGGGGGTGCCTTTTTCTAATTCCCACAAAGATACTGTGGGCTAGCAGTGGCCTTGTAGGGGTGGGAGAGAATGGTGATGGGGGGAGAGGACAAGAAGTAGCCAGAAAGCGGGGAGACGTGAGGGCTAGCATCAGTGCAGGGCTGAGGGGTAAGAGAGGAGGTGGGGTAGCTGCCCTCAGGTAGAAAGGCGAGGGCGAGTGGATTAGGTTAAGGAGGATGCCGTCCGTGTGTCTTGCAGGCTCTCTGACCCCCACGCCCTTGGCTCCCTCCCCGCGCAAACCTTCAGGGAAGAAGCACAGGCTTGGGAGTGCCCATAGGGAGGGGCCTGGGCATGTCAAAGCGTCTCCTCCTGTGCCTGCTCCGGGTCTACAAAGTCCAGCGGGACCCAGAGCCTGCCCACCTGGAGCTCGTTGTTTGGAAAGAGGCAGCCAAGGGAGTCGCTGCCCTTAGTCGAGGACGCTCTATGCTTTCACAGACAGAAGCACTAACAGCTAACAAGTGCTGAGCCCTACAGGTGGGATGACATACGTGACCCCAGGTGGCACTCCCATCCACCTGGAGGGCTGATGTGCGGGGAGATCCGGATTCGAACCCAGGCAGGCGGGCTCTGAAGCCCTGCTCTGGACCGACTGCGCTGCCTTCACTCCCTTCTGGGGGCGGCTCGCTGTTGTCGCCGTTCCAAGCAGCTAAGATCCTGGGAGATCAGCTACGCAGCAATGGATCTCGCAAGGGGAAGGCGCGGAGCCGTGGAGGGGATGCAAGCAGCGGGGAAGCCAGGCTCACTGCGGCTCTGAGGAGGGGCAGCTGGTCTGGGGCTGTTATGTGGGGCCACATTGCCGGTCAATGCTGCCCAGTAATGGCTAAGAGAACCTCACCCCCTTATTGGTAGAAAGTGGACAACAATCATGAATGTAGCCTCAGCGATGTGGAGAGAAGGCAGCAAAGTACCCCATGCAACGTACGCAGGGTGTGCCAGCATCCAGCAGCCTCCTGGGAACGGCACATGCGGCCGGAAGCTCCTGCCCCCGTGGCAGCCACCTGCCCCTCCCATCTCTCTCCGTAAGGAGCCATAGACCTCTGGGGCTGCTGCTGATGAGATTCTGTCCCTCAGTTTCATGAGCGCTTATTCAACACCTGCTGCACACCTGGTGCTGTGCGTGGCACCAAGGATGGACACGAGTCAATGCAGCGCCACTTGGTCCCCGGGGGCTGGTATGCCAGGTGGATCTGAACCCTAGACCCACCGCCCATTAGCTGTGAGGCATTGGGAGGCCCCTGAACTCTGTGCCTCAGTTTCCCCACCTCTGAGCCGCTTGGCAGATGCCCGGGGAGCACCCAACGTCTGCGTGCAGGGCCGCTTCTCAGCCCTCATGGGCCCCTTCCTCTATTAGAAAGATACATGACAGATTACATTGTACAGCTCTGACGGTATAAAGCCGAGTACATTTGTATTTTAAAACATTTTCTTCCATTTAAAAGTTCATTTCTTTCTTCTTATTTTAAAAGAAATAAAACATTTTCATGGGCCCCTAAAAGTGCCGTGGTCCCTCGGCACAGTGCTTGCTGTGCCGGAGGGGAAGCCGGCCCGTAATGTGAGATTATGATTGTCCTTACTTTGCAGAGCAGTCACTAGACAGTGCTGCAGTTAAGTGCCGGGCCCCTAGGTGTGTCCCCTGCCTTGCCCTAGCCCTGGCCTGGCAGAAGGGGCAGGATCTTGGGGTTCTCCATGGGTGAGGAAGGGACACGGGGGAGGCCACATGGCCAAGAGGGAGCAGGTTGTCCTGGGCCCTCCTGCTCCTCCTGCTCCTGGGTGGGTGGAGAACTGTGCTGGCAGCAGAGAGTGGAGTTGGGGAGATGTCCACGTCCCGGCCTGGGAGCTGGCGCCAGGCCAGAGCCCACGCTGACACCGAGCCTGAGGGCTCTGCCGCTTTGGTCAGGGTGGTTTGTAGGAGGGGCTCCCTGCAGCTCTGGTGTGTGTGTGTCTATGTGCGCGTCTGTGTGCACGTGTGTGTGTGTGTGTGTGTGTGTGTGTGTGTGTGTCTCCCTGTTTGCCTTGGCCTGCCTCCAGCCTCCTTCTCGGGGATCTTATGTCTCTCAAAGATAAGCAAACAGCTGTTTTCACAGAACCTTCAGTGGCTTGGCTGGACGCAGAGGAAGCTGGGGCTGGAACCTGACCTCGAGGGTCCCCAGTCTTGTCTGCAGCTGCTCTCCTGCAAGGGGAGGGGCCCTCCCACAAGTACCCCTTAAAGCAGCACGCTCCCTGACCCCTTGTTTGTGGCATGTCTGGGTGGGGTGGGGGGCTGTCAAACGGATCATTTCCTTCCCATAAATAATAATTTCCAAATCTGTTCCCATGTTGCTTTAAGTCCTTTCTACTTCTAAAAAGCTCAATGATGACCGGCTGGCCCCAGACCCCCAGGAAGAGCAAGCCCACCGCCTCCTCTTTCCCCATAGCCAAAGCAGGCTATTCTGGGGCCAGAAGGTTGCAGCTCCCAGATGTGCAGAGCAGGGCACGGGACCAAGCAGAGGGCTGGTTTTCGCAGGGGCCAGTCCAGGGGAACAGGGGCTCACCCACCTTCCAGCACCCGGAACCCCACCACGCCATCCAGGTTGATTTCGGGCAGCCTCTCCTCTAGGAAGAAGGTGGCTCTCTCCAGCGCAGACAGGATCAGGCCTGCAATGGTGGCCTTACCCTCTGCAGTGTCCAGCCGTGGCAGTGAGGAGGGCCACAGAGGTGGCAGTGCTGTCAGTAAGAGCAGGAGCACCAGCTCCGGGCTGGCCATGGCTGGCCTCTGCTTGCGGCTGGTTGCGTGCTCAGCACCAAGATCTGTGGCCCGGGCTAGACAGCCTCTGCACACCCTCCTCCCGCCTCCTCCTCCCGCCTTCCCCCAGCAGACCTGCAGACAAGTGGTCAGGCAGGACTGCCCAGAAGCCTGGGGTGGCCTGGGCAAAGGGCTCTCGGAAGGGCGGCTGCAGGGGGCTGTCGTCAAGGGGGTGGCGTTCAGGCCAGTCCTGGGCGCGAGCCCACTGGCCACAGGCTGGGGAGAGGGGCCCACCCTGCACTTCTTGGCCCCGGTTCTCCAGGTCAAAGGCTCGATCTTTGATCTGCAATAGCAATTGCAACTCAGAAATCCTGAAAAAGCCCTGAAAATCAAAGTTATTTTGTTTGTTTTAAATAAATTTGGAACAAACTCATTTGAGGGCACACCTACCTTGAGCTGAGGCAAGCTTCCTGAGAGAGGCACCGGCCAAGAGAAACAGAGTTGGAACTACAAAGGCAAGCCATGAATGTACTCCAAAAATTTCCGCTAGCCACATCCTGATAAGCAGCAATAAGAAGGTGAAATTAATTTCAACGATCTATTTTATTTGACCCAATATATCTAAAATATGATCATTTCACCATGTCATCAATATAAAAATGATTAGTTCCCATTTTTCTCATACTAAGTCTTTGAAATTGGTGAGTATTTTACACTCACTGCACGGTTCGATGCACACTGTCCACATTTCAAGGGCATGGTGGCCGCATGTAGCGGCTGCACTGGACACTGTCTTAGTCTGTGTTGTGCTGCTACAACAGAATACCCGAGACAGAGTAATTTATAAAGAAAACACATGTATTTGGCTCATGGTTCTGAGGCTGGGAAGTCCAAGATCTGGGAGGGCCTTCATGCTTCGTCATCCGATGGAGGAAGGGCGAGAGACAGGGAAGGAAGGGGAAAGAGCTAAACTCATGCGGTTACCAGGAGTCCACTTTTGCAATCAGGGCATCAGTCCCGGAACCTGATCTACCCTCTGACCTAATCACCTCTTAAAGGTCCCACTTCTCAACACTGTTGCACTGGGGATTAAGTTTCCAGAGTGTGATCTTTGGGGGACACATTCGAACCGCAGCAGACAGTGAGGACCTAGAGGCCCCATTTATTTCACTCACACATCGGTGTGATGCACATCTGTTTCGCTGCAGAAATTCTAATGTTGGCTTATTGAGTGCTGTCCCAAACCTCGCTGGGACTGTTATGTGTATGTGCACCATATTATTTTTCTAAAATCCAAAAATCTCTGAATTCAGAAACATATCTGGCTCCAAGGGCTTCAGTTAAGAGATTACAACTTTGGGAGGCTGAGGCAGGAGGATTACTTGAGGCCAGGAGTTCGAGACCAGTCTGGGTCATACTGAGGCTCCATCTCCACAAAAAATTAAAAAAGCCTGGTGTGGTGATGGGCTCCTAGAGTCCCAGCTGCTTGGGAGGCTGAGGCAGGAGGATTGCTTGACTCCAGGAGATGGAGGCTGCAGTGAGCTATGATGCTGCCACTGCACTCCAGCCTGGGCAACAGAGCAAGACCCTGCCTCAGAAAAATAAAAAATAAAAAAAGAGATTATAGATCTGTAATAGTAATAAAAATAACAACACTAACATGTGTATTTGATGCTCTTTGTGGGCTCTAGGTTAGGGTTTCTCAACCTTTTCACTTCATTATTGCCCTTTCCTCCACCCCTCGAGTGTTTTTAGACATTTTATTCCTGAAAAATTTTAAATAACAAGCTTATAGAGATATAATTCACATATCATAAAACTCACCCTTAAAAGTGTACAATTTCACAGTGGTTTTTTTGTATATTTGCAAAGTTGTGCAGCCATCACTGTCTAATTCCAGAATATTTTCATCGCCCCAAAAAGAAACCCCACATCCATTAGCGGTCACTCCCCATCGCCTTCCTCAGTCCCTGGCAACCACCGATCTACTTTCTGTCTCTATGAATTTGTCTGTTCTGGATATTTCTTATAAATGGAATCTTCCAATGTGTGGCCTTTTGTGTCTGGCTTCTCCCACTCAGTGTAATGTTTTTAAATTTCATTCGTGTTGTAGCACATAGCAGCACTTTATTCTTTTTTATGGCTGAAGAATACCCCATTGTATGGGTAGCCTGCATTCTGTTCATCCATTCATCTGGTGATGGACATTTGGGTTGTTTCCTTTTTGTTCTTGTGAGTAGTGCCGTTATAAACATTTGTTTACAAGTTTTTGTTTGAAAACCTGTTTTCAATCCTCTTCGTTATATTTCTCTTCGTTATATCCCTAGGAATGCAATTCCTGGACCATGTGGCAATTTTATGCTGAAACTATTGAGGAACTGCCAAACTGTTTTCCGCAGTGGCTGGACCATTTACATTCCCACAGCAGTGTATGAGGATTCCTCATGCACCCCTCCATGAAATTTTACTATGGCAGGTCTATTGTAAACTGTGCACTGCCTTTATGTCTACGCTTTATACATAACAAGAATGAGAATTTTTTACTCCCCAAGAACCATATTTCCCCCTTGGGTGCACCCTTGAGAACACATGTCCCAGGGGAAGATGTCATTGCCATTACTTCTGTTAATCCTTAAGACAACCCCTGAAGCGGGTACTCAACTACCCTGAATGAAATCTGAGGCTCTGAGGGGGTTAAGTGACTTATCAATACCTTCTTGATCATTGGGAGGATTGGATCTCACGTGGCATGGACACCAAGTGAGCAAGCAGGGCAAGCGAGGCTGGCCCAGTGCTGAAGTGGCCCTCCCTGGCGATGCCTCCACCCCTCTCTTCCCAGAGACAGAAGTGCAACTCCTTCCCCCCCCCAGGTTTCACCTGTCTACTCTTGGTTTGTCATCACCATGGTGCCTGGTCCTAATCTTCTTAGATCATCAGAGCAAGAGGACTCTAAGCTATGAGGTCCCACTCTCTTAATCCACAGGCGAGGAAAGCACATTGATATGGAATGACTTGCCTAAGGTCAAGCGGGAGCCAGAAACCCTGAGGCTGAGGTCCCAGATCCCCGCCCATCCTATCACAGGAGTGGACAGAGTTGGGCAGGGGAAGTGTCCGGCTCCCCACCCCCAGCCCACGCAACCTGGAGGCAGAGGACTCTCTGAAGCACTGGAGGTTTAATGCTGCTGCCCAAGAGCGCCTGCCCATCCCTTCCATCTGTGCATATTTACTCTTCCTTCCTTTCCACCTGAACGCTCGGGTTTCAAGGTCTGGCTCAGGGTGTGCCCTTTACCTTCTAATCCATAAGAAGGTGGGTCACAGTGCTATTGTGAAAGGCAGATGAGAGTGTGCCAAGCTCTGAGCCGAGTTCTGGGAACACTAGGAGCCACGTCATCACGGGAGCCCTGTCTAGCGGGTGCTGCCATGGGCTCTTATCAAGGGAGGAGGCGCTGTCTCGTTTGTTTGTTGAACAGGGGTCTGGGTGGTGGCACTGCAGGTTCTGTGGCAGCTGCCAAGGGTGGGGGGCAACGAGGTGGCTTCACCGATGTGCTATCAACGTTTCTCAGCAAGGAACCGCTTTCAAGGGGAAAAGGCTGTCACATGGACGCTCACTAAACTCTTCCGTGGCTACTTTGGGAGGTGACATTGGAGTGTCAGTGGGGAAATGTTCCCTTCTAACTATGGATATTGAAAAAAATTATTATGGTTTTTACTTTCTATTGTGTCCTTTTCCCTCTTTATATTTTAAATGTCTTATTCAAGCAACCAACACCCTGAAAAATGAAGAGGTAACTTTCCTGCCTGATGACTTTTCCCGTGTGGAACCCACCCACACCGCCAGCCCCGCCCAACTCGGAAGCTCCATCTGCGGCTGCGCACAGAGCACCGGGGCCTGCAGAAGAGCGGTCACGTGACGGCTGCCGGCTCGCCAAGATGGCGGCACCCTGTCTGGTCCTGCTGGCGCTGTCTCTGCTGCTGCCGCTGCTGCTGCTGGGCAGCTGGAAGCGCTGGCGGCGGGAGCGCGCGGCCCGGCACGTACTCGTCGTGGTGCTGGGCGACGTGGGCCGCAGCCCCCGCATGCAATACCACGCGCTGTCGTTGGCCAAGCACGGCTTCTCCGTGACCCTCCTGGGGTTCTGCAGTGAGTGCCGGAGGGAGGGAAGGTGCTCTCAGCCTTAGGCCCTGGGCTCTGACCAGGGGGTGGAGACCGAAGTCCCCCCTTTTGTCCCCCGCTTTGGCCAGCTCTCCGAGATAGCACGAGCGGGTTCTGGCCTGGATGGCGGTTTCCAGGTTTCTGTCGAGCCTCTGCTGGGTGGTTCGCTAGGAACAGCAAAAGTTAGTGGAGCGCTTGCCTTATGTCAGGACTGTGCTAAGTTAAGTCCATCCATTGCATGGTCTCACTAATTCTCCTAGTAAGTGGAAAGACTGGGGCTGTAACCCAGGTGTGGGGAACTCCAGGGCCAGTGCTGGTAGCCAGATCTGTGTGCAACTACCCTTGTCATGCAGTGTCTGAGCTGATGGGCGACACATCTTTTCTCATTCCTCATCCCTCAGCGCAGAGCTCTGCAGGCAGGAGGTGTTTCATTTGCTTCTCATGTCCACCTTTGCCCCCAAGTGTGCAGGGCAGGGATGCCTGCCCCTTCATTATTCTCTATTTTGATATCTTTAGAGGGTAGCGCAACCTCATCTCAGGGAAAAATGGGAACAGCATTGGTTGCCTTGGGTCGCTGGTTAGAGTTGGCTATCCCAGGGTGTGGAGGTAGAGTGGCGCTTCCTGGGGATCTCTGCGAGGTGGGAAAATCCCACCATCCAGGAAATTCAGATCAGTTTAATTAAGTGCCTACTACTATGTGCCAGGCATCATGTTAAATAATGGTGGATAACATTTGGGCCCTCTTTCGGTGGGCATTCTAGCGGAATCTGGATAAGACTTGGCCTTATTCTCTGCTCTGGCTAGTGAGGAACAGAGGTTTTGAAAAGTCTTATTTTCCAAAACACTCTCCACCATTCAGCCTGAGCTGGGAGATTATCTGACTTTAAAGTAGATTGCCACATCTGGTACATTAAAGGGAACATTCTCATTTTCAGACTCCAAACCCCATGATGAACTCTTGCAGAGTGACAGAATTCAAATTGTGCAGCTGACAGAACTTCAGAATCTTGCAGGTAGGATGCAGTCAATTCTAGATTCCTCTGAATCCATGTGCGTGCATGCGTGTGTGTGTGTGAAGCCTGCAGATTGCCAGAAGCTCCTTTGGTAGTCATAGGCGTTTTCTGACTTGCAGTTGGGCCCCGAGTTCTCCAGTACGGAGTCAAAGTTGTGTTTCAGGCAGTGCACTTGCTGTGGATGTTGATGTGGAGGGAGCCAGCAGCCTACATCTTTCTCCAGGTATGTGTCAGCCTCTGCCTCCTCTGTGAGAACCACTATTAACAGTTTTCTTTATTTTCCCACCTTTTAAAAATGCACAGATTGATAATACATTGTATATTCGTGTGCGTGTATATGTGAACTTTTAAAAACAGGATTAGGAACCTATGGTACATGTCCATTCTATTTATGGTGCCTGTCCATACTGTTTTTCTGTGTTATTACAGATGGCGTCTTACATTACGTTTATCATGTATCTAAGTGTTTTATATGTATTGAGTTGTTTAATCCTCGCAACAACCCTAAGAAGTAGGTTTTTGTATTTCCTACAGTTTAGAGATGAGGAAACTAAGACCCAGAGAGGTTCTGTAAGTAGTAACCCTTCGTCACACAGCTAGGAAGTGGTGGAGTCAGGATTTGAACCTAGGTAGTCAGTCTAGCTCTAGAGTTATGCTTTTAACCTTTCTCTTCCGTCAGTTTTTAACATATAGAAGCATCTTCTTTTTAATGGGCTGCACTGAATTCCAATATTTGATGTACCATAATGTATTTATTTAGTCTCATCTCAATGGATAGAATCTTCCTGATTTTTCTACTTTTACAAATAAGTGCCGCTAAGAGCACAGTGAACATCCATCTTTTACACACGTCCAGTTTCTTAGGATAAATTCCTAGCAGTGGAATTGCTCTATCAGAGTTTCCATACTTGTAAAATGTTGTGGTATGTTACTGGATAGCCCTAGAGTAAGGTTGTCCATTTTATCCCACACCGGGTGGAGGTGTCTCTTCTCCTCCTTCACTACCAGCTGCTGTTAGGCGTTTTTACAGTTTGCATTCTGATTGGTGACAAATGGCATGTCTTTGTTCCATCTTTTGTCTCCTTGCTTATTAATGATCTTGGACTTTTCATGCTGGTCACTTCGATTTCTTTTATGACTTTTGACACCTATTTTGGTGGCAGAGAGGGTCTGTCTTCTGCTTATTATCAAGAGCTCTTTAAAGATAATGACCTCTTGCCATGTGGGTTGCAACTGTTTTCACTCAAGTTTATTGTTGAGCATGGTCTGGGTTTCCTCCTCTTCCTTCAAGACTCTTTCTCCTAGAACCCCCCAGGCCTGCCCAGCATTGCCGTCTGCTGGTTTGTGGGCTGCCTTTGTGGAAGCAAACTCGTCATCGACTGGCACAACTATGGCTACTCCATTATGGGTCTGGTGCATGGCCCCAACCACCCCCTCGTTCTGCTGGCCAAATGGTGAGTCTGGGGGGAGGGTGCAAATACCTTCCCCAAAACTGCATGAGGGTGGGTGGGAAGAAGGGCCTGTGTGGCTCCGGAAACTGGTTCCCTGCATGCTCTGGAGGAGTAGGGCAGGGCTGCGCATCAGGCGGATGCTGGTTACAAGTGATAGAAACAGGCACAGCGAAGGGGGGCATTTGCTGATCCGTGAAACTGAAAGGTCCCGAGAAGCGGCTGGCTTTGAGCTCCCGACAGTGTCACTGGGGCCTGGCTCACATCTCTTCACACTCCCTTCTGGCGGTGTTTGGTGGTTCCGGGAGCTTGCCTACCTCTCGTCCCCACCCCTTCAGGGCTTGGTGGGGACAGTGAGCCTCTCTGATAGCCTTGTACCTGCCCTTCTCTGATCTGCCCACTGAGGCAGGGACCGCCATCCCTGTTTTCTCAGGCTTGGGGCAAGTGCACACTCCCTTGAGAGCTGGGTCCCCGGTGCGTCAGACCCCAAGGACAGAGAGTGTATGAGGGCAGATCCCCGAATAAAAACCGGGGGCTGATGAGAGGTGGAGAAGTGGGCCGTAGCCGCCGCAGCTGATGCGCGCAACTGTCGGAGCAGGTTGGACCCGGAGCAGGAAGGGTCATTTGTTGTACTCTGGGCCCCAGTATGACACCTGCCTTGGCGTGCACGTCCAGCCGCAGGCCGTCGGCAGCTTCGGCCTTTGCCCCGATGGGCCTGCTCACTGGCAGTGGTCACAGCAGCAGTGGCAGCACCTGCTGCCTGCTGGGGCCCAGGCCAGGCCCTTTCTGCATTTTATCGCATTCAGTCTCCACGCACTGCAGTGAGGCTGTCCTGTGATTACTCTCCTTTCACATGTCAGGAAACCGCGGCTGAAAGCAATTCTGCCTCTTGCCACATAGCTAATACGTGTGAGGACCAAAATTCAGCCCTAGGCAGTCCCATTTTAGAGCTTTCTCTGGGTCTTGAGGGTGGAACAGCCTATAATATCCCAACGGTGTTAAATAACCTAGACTCGCTCAATCCCCTTTCCGGTTCTCCCCTGCAATCAGGGTTCAGTCTCAGCTTGGAGCTAACGTGTCTTTAATACCCCTGACACTCACGGAAGTCCCCTTGTACCACGTTGAGAGCAAGCCCCACAGCTTTTGCTGCAGGGGCACAGGGCGGCTGAGATCTGGCAATGAGGCTTTTATTGTATTTCTTCTTACAGCAAGAGAGGCTGGACTTTCACTTTGGCAGTGATATATGGTTTCCTTTTAATGCAGTTGTATTTAAGCTGGAAAGTGGTATGACACGGAGGAAGGTCTGAAATAATACTGGTGTGGGTGGAGCCCCGGAAGCGCAAGCTCTGGGAAGGTCCGGGAGACCCCAGCTCTGCAGCCTCCTCTGTGTCGAGGGGTGTCGAGTCACACTGCAGTTGTGGTGGTCGGGCCTGTCCGGGGCTCCAGGCTGATCAGGGACATGTCTTGTCAGGTACGAGAAGCTCTTTGGACGCCTGTCCCATGTGAACCTGTGTGTGACCAGCGCCATGCGGGAAGACCTGGCGGAGAACTGGGGCATCAGGTACGCAGGCCTGGGATGACGTCAGCCCCAGGGCAGGTCCCGGGGTTGGCTGGGACGAGAGTGCAGTGCCTGCTACCGAGGCATCTGGCGAGGCATCTTGAGATACGAAGGGACGGGAGATGGAAACTGGTCTCAGGAAGCCGAGGGCGGAGGAGGTGGCGTTTCTTTCCGGGTCAGGCAAGAGGTCCAGGCAGTTTTGGTCTTAGAGCATCTCTCAGCACTTTCCCAAGTAATTCTAAAGCTTCTTACTGTCACTGAGACTTGGGTTCCCCAAGCGTCCTTTTTCTGGATTCGCCTGGATCCACTATTCGTAGGCCCCGCTCCACTCCTCCCCAGAGTCCCCACCACAACGATCTCGTTGCAGAGCTGTGACCGTCTACGACAAGCCGGCAGCTTTCTTTAAGGAGACACCCCTGGACCTGCAGCACGAGCTCTTCATGAAGCTGGGCCGCACCCACGCTGCGTTCCGGGCCTGGTAGGCCGCATCCTCAGCTGCCGTCGCTCACATCCCTGCCGTCCTGGCCTGTCCTGTCTCCCCCTGCAGACCTGGGAACCCGTGAATCCAGTGGCTGGCAAAGGCCGCAGGCCTGCTGCCTGTTTTTGCAGTTTCACTGGAACACGGCACACGCGTTCCCTTCCGTGTGGCTGTGGCGGCTTTCGAGCTGCAACGGCAGCGTGGGGTCTGCAGCAGGGAGCGTCCAGCCCGCAGAGCTTACAGTATTCACTCTCTGGCCCTTTGAGAAATGTTTGCCGACCCCTGTGCTATCTTACCCTCCTGCCAGCGGGTTCTTGTGCCCATGGCAGGGTCAGCGGACCTGTGTGTCCCCTGGGGTGTCTCATGGGCTAGGAGGGGACCTTTGTCCACACGTCCTGTCGTGTGCCCCTCAGTCCCCGGTATGGGTGGGAGGCGCATTACAGCGTCCAGTCTTACGTTGCGGGAGCGGCGAGAATGGGGAGCCCCACGGAGGAGGGGACCGGTCGGTCTCGTTTGCTGTTGTCACCTTAGCACCCGGCGGCAAGTGCTGCTGAAGGGAGCAGGCCCACACCTTGGTGGTAGGGCCAGCCCGGTGCTGCTGCCGTGGCCGGGCACCCCAACCTTGAGGAGCCCGCGGGCCTCGCTGTGGCGAGAGGTGGCCGTCCTGGGCCGGGGCCTGCTTTGTGGCATCTCACGGGCTTTTTCTCTGCTTCTTCAGCGCAGACCCCGGGGACCCGGCCACGGAGAGGTCAGCCTTCACGGAGCGGGACGCCCAGAGTGGGATGGTGACGTGTCTTCCAGGGCGGCCGGCCCTGCTGGTCAGCAGCACGAGCTGGACAGGTCTGTGCAGCCCCCGGGGCACTTGGGGCTATCGAGACAGACACCGGAGAGCCTGCGTGCTCCCCGCCCCCTTGCCTGATGAGAAGGGGCGGGCGTGGCAGCTGGGGGGGTTCTAGAAACAGCCTGTGACACTCCAGTCTTTTCTCACAGAGGACGAGGACTTCTCCATCCTGCTGGCAGCTTTGGAAAGTAGGTGTGTGGCTGTGGTCGGGGGTTCTGGGCTTACCGGGGCCGCCGAGCTGGGAGATGCTCGCCTGGCCTTGCACTGGGTGGGCCGGCCTGAGGACAGCTCAGGGACGCGGGGCTGTGGAGGCGGGCAACTCCGAGTCCCTGTTTGGGTCACTGAGTGGCCAGGCCCTCAAGCTGAAGTGTCGCCCTGGGGGGTATCTCAGAGGCTGGCGGCCCCCGTGGAGCAGCGCCTTGCCCACCTGACAGGGTGACCCTGGTTATGGCTTCTTTGTTTTTGTAAACACAGAGTTTGAACAGCTGACTCTTGCTGGGGACAGTCTTCCTTCTCTAGTCTGCGTGATAACAGGTACTGCCTGGGACACCGGACGTCTGCGTGTAGCTGGGGGACGGTGGGGGGTGAGTTGCAGCTGCTACCAGGGCTTTCCATGCGACTTTGTCTCGGAGTCCTCGCTGCAGCTCTGCAGTAGGGTTTTCTGTTGCTTCACGTGGGGGAAACTGAGGCTCAGAGGGGCCTCCCAGCAGGGTTGGAGCCCGGATTTGAATCTCAGGTAGCAGCACTGCAGAGATACCGAGCTTGCCCCTTTTCTGGTGGTTTCCAAGCACTGGATTTTTCAAACGAAAGAGCCCACTGGCCAGCGAGAAATTGCTTCCGAAGCCCCAGAGAAAGGGAGAAAGGCAGAGGGAATTCCTGGGCCAGTGGCTTGTCCTCTCTCCCCTCCTGGCCCCAGCTCCAGGGGCACCTTGGCGCCCACTGCACACATCATGCTGCATGGGGGCCCTGGCAGGGAAGGGGCAGTCCCTGTGTCCCCCTGCACATGGCACAGATGGAGAAACCGGATCTACCCAGTTGGTGCTCTGGTGCAGGCCAGCGTTTGTCCAGCTGTGGTCACGGCACGAGGCATCTGCCTGCAGGTGGCAGGGCCTCAGCGGTCAGAGTGTGCATCCCTGGGGGACTCAGGGCTCTTGGGCTGTTTCTGGAAGGGGCCGGGATGGGGCCTGCCTGGAGCTGCCAAGGCTGGGGCTTCTAGGAAGGTGGCTGCTTGCATCTTAGCAGGAGCATCTGGGGCCTGAGGCAGGGACAGGGGCGGGGCCAGTCTGTGGCAGTGTCTGCTTTTCTCTGCGAAGGCAAAGGGCCTCTGAAGGCCCACTACGGCCGCCTCATCGGCCAGAAGAGCTTCCAGCGCGTCCAGGTCTGCACGCCCTGGCTGGAGGCCGAGGACTACCCGCTGCTGCTAGGTAAGCGGCCACTCGGCCACTCGGGAGGCCTCAGGGAGGGCGGTGTTTAAAGGGAGTTCCCTGGGGCAGGGAGCAGACTTCTTCCAAACAGGGCCAGTCAGTAAAGACTTTAGGGCCTCCTATACTGTTTTTATAACCCTTTCAAGATGGAAAAGCCATTCTCAGCTCAGCAGCCAACACTGGCAGGCCTCAGGCGGGACTGGGCCTTGCCTGAGGCCACTTAAGATCTTGGGCTGAGCTCCTGAGAGGAGGCCGCTGTGTGTACCGGCCCCGCCCTGGCTGGTGGCCCTGAGGCTGTTTGCTGAGGTTCTAGGAGGCCCTGGCCTCTTGGCCTCCAACCCCTCACTCCATTCTGTCCTGCCCTCCCTTCTGCAGAAGGCCAGGGCCTGGGGTTGGGGCCACCGTCCCCAGGTGTGGGAGGGCCATGGCTTTGGGAGGTGCAGGGATAGCGTGTCACACGGCACTGCCTCCGCCAGCGAGACGTCTCTTTCCCTTGATTGCTTTGAGCGGGGCGTCGAGGCTCGCCGTTGACCGTCTCTAACGCCTCATCTTCCAGCCTCCAGGAAGCAGCCTGGGTGGAGAGCCTCTGGCAGGCAGAAGTTTCTAGCCAGTTTTTAGTAATGTTAAGTTGTTTATTTGGCTTTATTTTCACAGTGGCAGCTGGTTTTTTTGGGGGTCTGCTGTGGGTTCTTTTTTTTAAATCATTGCTGTAAGATATATATATAACAAAATTCGCCGTTTTAACCATTTTTGGTGTGCGACTCAGCGGCATTCATTATATTCACAGTGTTGTACAACCATCACCACTGTCTGTTTCCAAAACTCTTTCATCACCTCCTACAGAAACTCTGTACCCATTAACAATAACCGCTTAGGAGTTCTTTTAAAGTAAGTTGTGGTTAAGTAGAGAAACTGAGTCAACTGAAATACGAAAGTCAAGTAACTGGCAGTTTATAGATGTCAGGCGTGGCAGCTGGGAGCACCAGCAGCTCCCTGCCCCTGGCCAGGCTGTGGGGCCAACTTAAGCCACTTGTATTTGGGGCTGTCGGGGACGTCGCCGATTTCCGCTCCCTGTGGAGGTGCGGCTCCACTGTCCTGGAAGGACTTGTGTTCCCAGGGTGGAGGCCGGCACTGACTGCCCCTTCTCCCCGCAGGGTCGGCGGACCTGGGTGTCTGTCTGCACAAATCCTCCAGTGGCCTGGACCTGCCCATGAAGGTGGTGGACATGTTCGGGTGCTGTTTGCCCGTGTGTGCCGTGAACTTCCAGTGGTAGGAGTGGAAACTGAGTCTTCCTGGGGTTAGGTTCTCAAATCAGTAGCCGAGGGGGAACCACTGCAGTCTGAGCTGCTCGCGACACGCCACCAGCAAGGCGTCACCTCAGTCAGCCCCGCACAGACAGGTGGCCGAGAGCAGGGTGTGTTTTGCTCACTGTCATGGAGAACGGTGGCTGAACTGCCTGCGCAGCTCGTGTGGTTGTATCTCTCTTTCCCTCTCTCTCCCCACGTCCCCTTTGGCTGAGCTCGTATAGCTGGATTTGAATCAGTTAAATGAGTGTAATTCTGAGACCCCACCTGACCCGGCAAAGATGGGTATTTGGAAAGGGCAGTGTTAGAAGTTCTAGAAACAGCAGCCCCAGCGTGCTGAGCACTCAGCCCTGCTCAGGAGCAGCCTCTGGATGGGGAGTTCGAGATGTCAGACCCTCGCGTGAGCTGGGTCGTGTTGGGACCAGACCTTCTGGTGACCCAGAGAAGCCGTCCTTAGTGTGCCGGGCCAGTCCCCAGGGGCAGGGGTGCCTTTACCTTGTTTCTTGGGCATGGGGTTAAGAACAATAAGGCAGAAATAATTCCTGAGAACGTTCTCATCGAAGAGCACGCAGCACAAAAGGTCCACGTCCCCTTAGGACCCCTTGTCCAAACCGGTTTGGACATTTTCACGCGCATCCTTCCAGGTCCTTCTCCTACTCAGACGCCAAATCGGAACAGGCTCGCTGGACCAAGCTGGCTATTCCTGCCCCGGCTTTGCCTGCCTGTGGGTGGGCGGGGCGGGTGGGCACCACGGGGTCCGGTTCCCTCTCCAGGCAGCCCTCGGGCCCCTTGTTCTCTCCGCAGTTTGCATGAGCTTGTGAAACACGAAGAAAACGGCCTGGTCTTCGAGGACTCGGAGGAACTGGCAGCTCAGCTGCAGGTAGCCGCGTCGGGCCCTGCTCCAGGGCTTGGGGTTTTGGAGATGGGCCCTGAGCTGTGATCCCCGATTACTGCTTCCCGCAGCCGTGGTGGGACTACGTCCGGGCTGGAGGAGAGGCTGGGGAAGGGAGCAGAGGTCACAGAGGCCGGCCTGCTGTGCTGTCCTGCTTCAAGCGACCAGTGGGCTCAGGAAAACTAGGACATGCGCCCGCCTGCCCCCTGGCTTTATGGGGCTTACAACACACAGATGAAGCCAGAACAAGGTGGGCTGGGCTGCAGTCTAGGGCGCGATCGGGATCCAGGGAGTGAGAGTGGGTGTGAAAGGAGCTCCTTGAACCTGCCTTGAGAGACGGGTGGGATTCTGCAAAGGAGGCTTGCTTCCTCTTTGTTGTTGAGACAGAGTCTCACTCTGTCGCCCCGGCTAGAGTGCCATAGAGTGCCGTGGTGTCATCGTAGCTCACTGTAGCCTCCAACTCCTGGGCTCAAACATCCTCCTGTCTCAGCCTCCCAAGTAGCTGGGACTACAGGTGCACACCACGCCTGGCTCATTTTTCTGTTTTCAGTAGAGATGGGGTCTGGCTCTTGGCTCAGGCTGATGTCCAACTCCTAAGCCCAAGTGATCCTCCTGCCCCGGCCTCCCAGACTGCTAGGATTACGGTTGTGAGCCACCATGTCCACCTGGATGCTTATTTCTTGTTCCAGAAAGTAATACATCATCATTCTTTTTTTTTTTTTTTTTTTTAAAACAGAGTCTCACT